ACAAGGCAGGAGGGGCTCAGAGCAAGGAGGAGCCTCCCAGCACGTGACCTCTGCCTTCGTTTCGCCTCCTCTCACTTGCGGCAGGTGCCGATCGGAAGTCTCGGAGGTTATGCCGGGAGGAGAGGGAGGGAAGAAAGAGACTGAGGGAAGAGGAGGAGGAGACCTTAGAGTTGATGGCCCTGCAGCTTGTCAACGAGCAGCAGAGCGAGCAGGAGGAGTGGACGGAGAGCGCCGCTCCTACATGGCGAGGTCGCTCGTGCTCTTCGAGGCTGCGATAATTGTTTGTGAGCAGGAGCAGGAGACTTCCGAGAGGAAGTGATGAAAGAAAGGTAGCCCCGACCTCCTCTCCTCTCCTCTCCTCTCCTCTGCTCTGCTCTGCTCTGCTCTGCTCTCCTCTGCTCTCCTCTGCTCTGCTCTGCTCTGCTCTGCTCTGCTCTGCTCTGCTCTTCTCTGCTCTGCTCTGCTCTGCTCTGCTCTGCTCTGCTCTGCTCTGCTCTCCTTCTCCTCTCCTGTCCTCTCCTGTCCTCCCTTCTCCTCCCTTCTCCTCCCTTCTCCTATCCTCCTTTGCTCTGCTCTTCTCCGCTTACCTTCCCTCTCTTTCCCTCTTCTCCCGTGCTCTTCAGCTTCTGGGAGTCGCGAGCACAGTTTGTGTGCATCAATTATTGCCAGGAGGTGAGAGTCGTCTTCTGTCATCTCTCTGACTTCTAGCTCCTCCTCCTCCCTTGCCGCGTGACTGCGAGGCAGGACGAGCTGGTCGCTCAGCGCGTGGCAGGAGCGCTCTCAGTGCTCTTCCCGTTCAGGTGCTTGAGATGTGAGGAGGAAGGGAGGGAATGAGAGCGGCTACGAGGTTGTCCGACCGTCTCCTCCTCCTCCTCAAGTTTCCAAGCGAGCCCTCCTCCTCTCAGTATGAAACCATCGAGAACTCTCGTATTTTCCTTCCCGTCATTTCCGCTAGGTCAGACTCCCTCCTCCCTCGCCTTCTCCCTCGCCTCCTCCCTCGCCTTCTCCCTTGTCGTTTCTTAGCTCTCGTTCAGCTTCATTCGCCATCCCCTTCGTCTCAAGGACCTCAGCTTCGCTCACGCTCATGACGTTCCGATCCTCCCGATCCTCACCGACCTGGAGGGTGAGGCCCAGAGAGCTGGAGGAGACACTGAGGGAGCTCGCAGTTGAGCAGCTGCTGACCGCGGACGTCGCCATCGTTCTTGCTGGGCTTCCTCGCGTGTATGTCTCCTCAGGTACGAGCAGGAGGCAGCAGCCGCAGCTTGCTGAGAGGGGGCAGGAGGGGAGGAGGCGAAGGAGAGGATGGAGCATTCGATACAAGGAGCCTTCACCCCTCGAAGCTCGCTCAACATCAACCATGGCGTCTCCTCTCACCTCAGACATCTCTTCGGCAGGGTATCTTCTCCTCTTCCCTCTGCTCCTGCTCGTCAGATCTTGAGTCTGCTTGACTGTCTCGACAGAAATCGCAGGAAGAGATCGCAGACTTTGTTCATGAGCCCCTGGTGCGCGAGCCAGCATGGACGGAAGTCTGTCGAGAGAGGGTGAGGGACAGGCACCGAGCTGCAGAGGGTTGACGAGCAGCAGGTGAGACAAGAGCTGGAGGAGCAGCAGGAGGCAGAGGAGCGAGAGAACCGCGGGGTGTATCACCCTGGCAATAAGATGTAAGCTGCTGCTGCTGCTGCTGCTGCTGCTGCTGCTTCTCCTCCTCCTCCTCTTGCTCCTCCTCTTGCTCCTCTTGCTCCTCTTGCTCGTGCTCGTCGTCCTCCTCACTGGGCTGCGGCAGTTTGGCAAGGGAGCGAGCGGAGGAGGGGCGAGAAGGAACCTCCTCCTTCCTCGCCTTCCCAGCTCCCACTCACCGTCGCCCCTTCACCTCCACCTCCAGCTCGGCTTGGCGGGCCGAACTTGACAAGTCCGCGCGCAGCTGGAGGGAGAGCTGGAGCCCAAGGGCCAGGGAGGCCCAGCAGGCCCGCTTCAGACCCCGAAGATAGAAGGGCATTGAATTATACAATAGGAGAAAAAGGTTGCTGCCTTTTTTATTTGAGTGAATTCAAACCAGTGGAGAGAGGTGGAATATGAAGATGATCATGCTGACTGCAATCAGAACATAACAGATCTCCTCTCCTCTCCTCTCCTCTCCTCTCCTCTCCTCTCTCCTCTCCTCTCCTCTCTCCTCTCCTCTCCTCTCATCCCCTCCCATCCCCTCTCCTTCCCGCTCGAATCCTTGCCTTTTCCTGGTTCATCGATGATCAGGAGAGTCTTTCATCTCCTCCTCTCCTCCATGCTGATGGCCGAATGCTCTCAAGAGTTCCGATTGCCTGCAGTGCCTCCACGCCCGACCAGGTGCGGAATGTACCTGCGAGGAGGATCGGTGGCAGGAGAGGAGAATAAGCTCTCGCATACGCCATGCATAGGCAACCTCCAGGGCTTCGAAGTGCTCGAGAAGTTTTACAGCACTGGAGAAGGAAACGAGGTGAACCTGCCTCTCCTCTCCCTCCTCGCCTCTCATTTACCCTGCAGGTGTTTCGGAGGAAGCTGTCGTCACTGAGGAGCGTGTACGGGAAGGGGTTCCGAGCGGTGAAGGGGGACGGGAACTGCTTCATACGAGGGTACATGTTCGCCGTGCTCCAGTCCCTCCTCTCCCTCCCCCGGCAAGAGGCGTCGGGGTTCAAGGGGATCCTCACGGCCTACAACATCATGATGCTGGACAAGCAGCTGGGCTTGGGCTATAGCGGCCTGGCAGTGAGCGACTTCTACGAAGACATGCTGAATGAGGTTCGACGAGGAGGAGGAGGAGTTTACATGCAAGTAAGAGTTTGCAGGTGACGCTGATCGAGGAGGGATCGATGACGGAGGAGATGTTGGAGGACAACTTTAACCTGCTCTCCTTCTCTAACTCCTTGGTCACCTTCACCCGCCTCGTCTGCTCGTGCTACATTCAGCAGCATCCCCAGCACTTCGCTCCTTTCCTCGGCATCGATACCAGTGACACTGACGCGATGAAGCGAGAGGTTTCGCTGCTCCTCTCCTACTCCTCCCTTGACGTTTCTCAGGTTAGAGATTTCTGTCTGAGGGAAGTGGAGCCACTCGAGCGAGAGGTGGACCAGGTGCAGGTACGCAGAGGGAAGGAGGAGGCAGGAGGGAGGAGAAGAGGAGGGAGGAACTAAGAGGATCGTCAGATCATCGCGCTCACTTCAGCGTTCGGCTTCGGAGTGAGAGTCGCACATCTAGATCGATCTGATGGACCTCTTAACTTTCATGGTGACCCTCCGATCTCCTCCCCGCTCTTCTCCTCCCCTTGATTCGCATCTTGTTCGCAGACTTCCCTCCCGATAAGGAGCCAGTCGTTCACATGCTCTACCGCCCAGGACACTACGACCTCGTCTATGCCTAGCTCCCCTCCTGTTCCAGACCCTCGGCAAGCGACGAGACCATATCCTGCGCTTTTCATCAGCTGCTCCTCCTTTTCTCCTCCCGTTACCTCAAACTTTGCGTTTCCTCGTGCCATCCCGATCTTACAATTGCAAACCAGCGCAGCCTATTCTCCGTGTCATGTCCTTCGTCTCCTCCTACTCCCCCCTCCTTCTCTTTCTGCTGCTCCTCCCCCTACCCGCGAGTCTCCGAGCTCTTGCGCGATCTTCTTCGCGTTCTCGAAGTAGCTTGACGCCTCCTCGTACTGACCCTCCTCGTTCGCCATCTTCCCCAGCAGCAGGTTCGCGTCCAGCTGCTCTCCAGGTCACGCACGAGCTCTAGAGCTTCGACGTACCTGCGCCTTGAGGTCCTTGAGAGCGACGGAGAGCTTGAGGTGTCGCTCCAGGCAGGCCTTGCTTGTTCGCATGTCTCCCTTCCTCTCCGCCACGTTCCCCAGGTTCCCACACGCCAGACTCTCCCCCACCACGCTCGACATCACGATCGCGTACCTGCCCAGCAGGCGTCAGCCTCCTCCTGCTCTACCCCGGCTGATCGCACACCTGAGCGCCTGTCGGTGGTTGAGTGAGGACTGCTCGAGCTCGTCCATGGCGGCGTAGGCGAGCCCGAGGTTGCAGTGAGCGACGAACTTGCCGGCCACGTCGGCGATCTGACGGGGAGGAAGACAAGGGGAATCAGGAGATACGGTGAATGAGGAGAAAGCATACACAAAGAGGGAGGAGGGAGGAGGGAGGAGGGAGGAGGACGAAGAGGAAAGAAGGATGAAAGGGAGGAGAAGGACGACGACGAAGGGGAGACAAGAAGGAGGGTGTGGGGAGGAGGGAGGAGGTCAGAGTTCAGACCTGGAGATGTTGGTTGCTCAGCTCGATCGCTTCCTCATACCGCCCGAGCTTGAAGAAATTGATGGCCATCGAGTTCAACGCCAGCTGCTCGCCCTTGACGTCGCCTACCGCCCTGCTCGCCTGTGGCAAGAAGATCCCGAAGAAGCGAAAGTGAGGAGGGGGAGGGAAGGAGGAGGAGGAGGAGGAGGAGGAGGAGGAGGAGGAAGGATCAGATCTCTCGGCCGTTCGTCTCTTCTCTCTTCACCTGCAGGTATTGCTCATAGCACGCGTTCGCCTTCTCTAACTCCTTGTCATTGTCCAGCAGCACCCCCATGTTGTAGTACGCCATCGCCTCGTTCCTCGGCTTGTTTGCACGTCGGCAAGCAAACCTACAGGCCTGTCATTCCACCCTCCTCCTCCTCTCTCCTCCCTCCTCCTCCTCCTCCTCCTCCTCCTCCTCCACTCACGCAAGCATCTCTTGATCTTTGATCTTCGTCTGCGAAGCCTGACGTCTGTTTACTGATGGGTCCCCGTGAGCGACAGACGCTCCTCCTCCTCCTCCTCCTCCTTCATTCTCAGCCACCATCGTGCCGTCATCGTTGCGGACAGGAACATTTAGATCTTTCGGTGGCTCAACGCGCTGGGGGATGCCGATACGGAAGGGGTTGTTGGCGTCCTTAGCCGGCCTGCCCTTCCACGTCTCCTCCCTCAAGCTGTTCTCCTCAGGAAGGGAGGAGAAGCTCTCGTTGTTGGGCTTCTTCGCCGGCGACTTGTCTCTCTCTCGCTCTCTCCTCGCCGTCTCTGTGGCCCCAGCATGCTCAGGCTTCCGGCTGATCGTCGATGCCTTCACGCTCCTTCGCACCTGCTCATTAGGAGCGAACCGAGCTGAGCGAAAGGCCTCCTCCGAGTTGGCAGGCTTGGGGAACCTCTGACCCTCTGCTTTCCTCCGCTCGATTCGCTCCTGGAGGAGACTAACAGCAGAAGGAAGGGAAAGGTCTGCCATGGTAGAAGACGAGCAGGAGGCGAGGACAGGGGGCTCACTTGAGGAACATTGAGAGATGAGAGGTGTGTAGAAGAAGAAGCAAACGAATGTAGGTGAGTGTAAGTACTCCTATGAAGTTCTTCCCTTGTTGGTTGTTTCCTGCAGCAATAGGGTCAAACCTTCAACCACCCACCCAACTCCTGTGTCTCTCTTTCGATCACCCTCCCATCTTGACCTTTTCTCTGAGAAGTGTCATGCTCATCTCGACTCTGTTATCTTCACATTTTTCACTCGAACACATCAATCTGTACTTTATCTGCAAACTTGTCTTCTCGTTGTTCCAACCTGCCTCCTCCCTGCTCTTCTTCCGATGCCCTGCTCCCCTTTCTCGTCTCTTCTTGGCTCTGTTCTTCTTTTCTCTTCTCTGTTCTGCTATGTCGTCTTCTGTTCTGCTCTGTTCCTCTCTCTTCTGTTCTGCTCTGTTCCTCACTGCTCTGTTCTGCTCTGTTCCTCACTGCTCTGTTCTGCTCTGTTCCTCTCTCTTCGGTTGTGCTCTGTTCCTCTCTCTTCTGTTCTGCTCTGTTCCTCTCTGCTCTGCTCTGCTCTGCCTGACTCTCTGTTCTCCTCGCTCCTCCCTTTCGCTTCCATCTGCCATTCCACCAACGGAAGCGACTTTATTCGCGGAGGTTGAAACATATTTCAATTTATAGGGTTAAATTTGAAATATATTTTGATATTGCGATTTGATTATTGATCCTGAAACATTGGAAATAGAAGGAAATATTTGAACTGATTTCATGGCCCCGCCGTCTCAGCCGGCCGGGCCCGGCCCGGCCGTGGACGGCGAGCCCGGCCCGGGTACCCCGGGAGTCAGTGAACTTCCCGGCGAAGTCAAGTTTAAGTGAAGCCAAGGAAAGTGCCGGGCCCAGGGGACCAGTCCGGGCCTTCACTCAAGTTCCCCGGGCCCGGCAGTTTCTTTCAGTGTTTCATTTCCTCGGGTGTTTAACTGGCCCCTCAGCGTCGGACGCGTCAAGACTTCTCTTGCCCTCGCGCTCCTCCTCCTCCCCTGACGTTGCCAGCAGCTCTCGCCCTGTCCTCTTTCCCTCCTTGATCTGCTCGCGCACTGCAGGAGGAGGTCAAGGAGCAGGCAACGACAAGGAGAGATCGACCTGCTTGCAACGTTTGCAGCCAGTGCTTGTCAGCTGCCTTGCCGTCCTGGGAGGAGCAGCGAAATATCGCACTTGAGGAGATATCTTTCGACTCCTCCTCCACGGTCTCCTCTTCCTCTTCCCCCTCCTCCTCCTCCCCCTCCTCCTCCTCCTCTTCTTCGCCGAAGTTCTCCTTCGCCTTCCTAACGTCTTCGACTTCTTGTTCCTCGTCTTCTGCTTCCTCCTGTCCTCTGATCGTCTCCTCGCTGCTTTTCGCATGTCGTTCCCCGCGCTCGTCTGCATGGGGTCAAGGAGGGGATGAGGAGCGGAGGATCACCAGCGAGATTCCGGTAGAAGCTGTTGGAATATTTCTTCACGTCCTCCCTGAACTTTTGCATTGGGTCTTGAAAGGTCTCCTCCTTCCGCCCTTCATCTGAACAAAGTGTCTCACTGTTGCTGTCCATCACCACGCGCCTCCCCCCTCACTCCTCTCCTCCCCTGCCTTCCTCTCCCTCTCGTACGACTCAGCACCTCCCTCCCTCTCCTCCTCCCAGTCCTTCGGCTTCCTCGCTC